TTGTGGGTGCGGTATAAGAGTGACAGTCAAATAGCACTATTCAGTCTCACAAGTGTTGGCGGTGGGTTGTGTTGACTAGCTGCCTACCCTGTTGTCTATCACTTCAAAATTAGGTGCAACTATCGTAGAGCAAGTAAAAATAAACTTATGAATAACAATATAGAAAATACGTGTGTGAGCGTTAATCTTATTTTTTTCTTCACTGTCTGCCCTTGACTCCCATGCCCCTAGCCAGAGGGCATAGCGTGTTTTTGCGCTTAGCAACAAACAAAGAAAGAAACGATTTATTCCAAATAAATGTACTGTTGGCTTGTTCACCAAAGCTGGAAAATAGTAGACCTCCACTTGGAGATAAAGCACCCTAGGAAAACCTACACGTATTATTGGTAAATAAACTGTTTCGAAGACATTCACACTTTGAAAGTATTTTGGTTTTGAGAGAATAAATAAATGAACCTGTAAATGAAACACAAATTCTTTTAGTTAAATCTTTGATTTTGACAAGAAGCAATATTCAAATGAATCAAATTTTATGTAAAATTTCATTTCAACATTGCAGGTCACCTTTCCACCGGTTTCAGGTAATAAAAGAGTAGTTCACCGTGTAACCGACTTAATGTGATAAAGTGTAGTTTAAAACGGTAACGTTTTCAGGAGACAAAATGTTATTACCTATAGTATCGGTTTCATTTAGTAAGGTATAATCCACCATAGTACCGGTTTCAGGTAATAAAGAGTAGTTCACCGTGTAACCGACTTAATGTGACAAAGTGTAGTTTAAAACCGTAACGTTTTCAGGAAACAAAATGTTATTACCTGTAGTATCGGTTTCATTTAGCAAGGTATAATCCACCATAGTACCGGTTTCAGGTAATAATGTAGTCTACCGTGGTATGGGTTCAGGTAACGGTTTCAGGAAACAAAATTTTATCACCTATAGTATCGGTTTCACGTAGCAAGGTATGCTCCATCACTGTACCGGTTTCAGGTAATAATGTAGTCTAACGTGGTATGGGTTCGGGTAATAGTTTAGGTAACGGTTTCAGGAAACAAAATGTTATTAACCGTGGTACCGGTTTCACGGGACATGTTACGGTTCACCATGGTACCGGTTACAGGTAATAAAGTGCAATTTACAACAATGGCGGTTTCAGAAAACAGAATGTTAATACGCCCGGTATTGGTTTCACGAGAGAAACTATTATCCCCCAAGGTAACGGTTTTAAATGATAAATTGTAATTCACCATGGTATGGGTTTCGGGTGATAAAGTGTAGTTTCCATGGTAACGCATAAATGGGGTATTATTTAACTTTCATAATACGTAATCACTGTTTTTAGTAAAGGTTTCGTTTTTCGCGTTCTTTCTCTTAATGTTCTATTATCCTTCGCTGTTCATTAGCTGTAAACAATGCTTTAGTAACATTGTTATAAACACATATTTCAATAAGTTTATTTAAAGTATATCGTTTTAGTGGTATTTCTAAAATGTGCATTTTTTTACCAGAATCTTCTAGCCTCACAAACAATTGTTAGTATTTACTTTTCATGAAATTTAACGGCAATGTATAAAACATAAATTTTCGAGCATATTTTTATACAAGCATTATTCAGCCATTACGTAGCGCAAATAACTCCCCCCCCCCCCTTAATTAATGAAGGCTCCTATCAGACTTTCTAATCCCTAACCCGCCAGGTAATAAAAACAGGTTTTGACAATTTACCCGGCATTCAATACTTCCAGGTAGAAACTCAAACTCCTCCTTACCACGGGTTCTAATGTAATATTTAAGGGTTACGTGAACTTACAATGGTTGATGGTATTAGATAATCTGGTCAGGAGGCTTCAGTTTAAATAGTACATTATATATGTACATCCAATGTACATTTGTTTTACTGACAACATAACATAAAACCATACCTATGGCTTGTAGAAACAATAGCAGTTTGATGGGAAACAACTCCCGTTTTTTCAAATCTTTCCAGAAAGTCAAACGCGTCATTTTTTTAAAACACTAAAACTGTTTGAATACAGAGCTTAATCATATAAATGCATAACAAACACAAGATCAGTCACACTCCAACAGCCCGGATATCACCAACCTGTGCAAGAGGGGAGATAGACAACGTGTAGCTGTGTGCTCGTTTTCGGTTGGTTCAGCTGACGAGCCTACATCATCACGAGACAAGATCTCTTACGTCACTAATCAAATGTGAGCTGTAAGACCAATGGAAGTTTTCAGAATTCCTTCACAACACTAGATATTTCCTTCTTATTTTATGTTTATAAATGCAAACACAAGTTTAGTAGTTTGAAATAATTCAAGTTATTTTATGACGTCCTATTCTATATTGTAAAACATCAAAAACTAACTTTGATGACCCATAATATCGAACTGATATTGTTAAACATCCAAAACTGACTTTGATGACCTATAATATTGAACTGATATTGTAAGACATCCAAAACTGACTTTGATGACCCATAATATCGAACCGATATTGTAAAACATCCAAAACTGACTTTGATGACCCATAATATCGAACCGATATTGTAAAACATCCAAAACTGATTTTTTGATGACCCATAACATGGAACCGATATTGTAAAACATCCAAAACTGACTATGATAACCCATAATATCGAACCGATATTGTAAAACATCCAAAACTGACTTTGATGACCCATAATACTGAGCCGATATTGTTAAACAGTTTTACAATATCGGTTCGATATTATGGGTTATCAAAGTTAGTTTTGGAATCCAAAACTGACTTTGATGACCCATAATACTTTCGATATTATTGATCATCAAAGTTAGTTTTGGATATTTTACAATATCGGTTCCGGATATTGTAAAACATCCAAAACTGCTTACAATCAGTGAGTGTTTAGGTATGGAAACCTATTAACTAGGGTACTTGTGTCTGGTGAAATGTAAAGAAGTTGAAGGAAAAATGGGTTTATAATGTTTTGTTTGTATTTTGCATTCTATTCTTAGCAAAGTTTTAGGAAGATTTAAAACTGTGGGAATATAAGCAGACAACGATGCGTTTATTTTTGAAAAAAAAAGTGAATTTTTATGAAGATTGTGGTTCTTATTTTGTTTCTGAATTTCACGCAAGGTTACTCGAAGGCTATCTGCGCTAGCCGTCCCTAATTTTAATGATAAACGCAAGTGTGCTTACTTTAGAAAGCTTTACAAAATAAATGAATAAGAACGTATTTGATTTATGAAGATAATACACGAGTGTATTTAGTTTCTTTAAAGAGAATGCGTAGAAGCTATACTGTATTCAGACGATGTATCTTCAGTGTTAAGCGGAAAATAAAATCATTAGACAACCACAAAAAGAAGGAAATACAAGTTAATGAATCGAAAACAAAAAATCTTTGTTCTCACAATAATGTTTGTGGTCCTCATCATACTGACCAGCTTCAATCTTTTTCAAGTCACAGCAAGGTCCTAGTGTGGTATCCCACAATACCAGATAAGCTGCGTAAACAAGCATGATTATTATATGTACGTAATCAAGCGAGATAAGCAACTAATACGAACGTGTGCAAGACTCTGAACCACCTCTTTAAATAAGGAAGACCTCACACCAGGAGGGCACAACACAGAAACAGGGTAAAACAAATATGAGCCTTTATAGCACAATTGGTTTTTATATGTAATATTTACATAAGGTAGAGGAGTAGCACAATTGTATAACCTTTCTACACCCTCTTGAGAATGACGTTATTAATTACGTGCAAACAAACACAAATGTAGAAAAAAATACTCGAATATGCCTACACAGAGATACATTATTTACTTTTTATGGAAGAACGAAAACTAGCAGCTCTTTCAACAATTAAAACTCCCTTTCTCCATATCTCAGGGCCATCTTAGTCCCTAATCTTAAACTTAAACATTCAAGAAGTAAATAGAAATAGTATCTTCCTTTAAGCATCTCATTAAACACCATGACATGGCACAAACACAATACAAGAAAACTTTGATAAATTATAGGAACACTTGTCAATATAAACCAACGTTATAAATAGATAATTGTGTAAATAGTTTTTGTAGTGCCTCCCAGTAGCTTAACGATAAACTTACGACACCAAAGATCCAGAGATCCATCCAGACTATCATGTTCAATGTTACATGGTCACACAACTTAAGGTTGCACCAACATTATCCATCAAAACCAGCACGTGCAATTTTACATGATAGCATGACTCAAGACTGCACCAACATCATCCATCCAGATCGTCAAGTGCAATTTTACTTTGTGAAGATACAGTAGAACAAGGTGATCACCTTACGTATTGTTAAAACTTTGTGAAGATAGAGTAGAACAGGGTAATCACCTTACGTATTGTTAAAACTTACGTGAAGATACAGTAGAACAGGGTAATCACCTTACGTATTGTTAAAACTTTGTGAAGATACTGTAGAACAGGGTAATCACCTTACGTATTGTTAAAACTTTGTGAAGATAAAGTAGAACAGGGTAATCACCTTACGTATTGTTAAAACTATGTGAAGATACAGTAGAACAGGGTAATAACCTTACGTATTGTTAAAACTATGTGATGATACAGTAGAACAGGGTAGTCACCTTACGTATTGTTAAAACTTTGTGAAGATACAGTAGAACAGGTTAATCGCCTTACGTATTGTTAAAACTATGTAATGATACAGTAGAACAGGGTAATCACCTTACGTATTGTTAAAACTATGTGATGATACAGTAGAACAGGGTAATCACCTTACGTATTGTTAAAACTTTGTGAAGATACTGTAGAACAGGGTAATTACCTTACGTATTGTTAAAACTATGTGATGATACAGTAGAACAGGGTAATCACCTTACGTATTGTTAAAACTTTGTGAAGATACAGTAGAACAGGTTAATCGCCTTACGTATTGTTAAAACTATGTGATGATACAGTAGAACAGGGTAATCACTTTACGTATTGTTAAAACTTTGTGAAGATACAGTAGAACAGGGTAATCACCTTACGTATTGTTAAAACTATGTGATGATACAGTAGAGCAGG